TTACCTTTGATCTTTTTCAGATGTAATTCAACTAACTGAATGAGAAGAAGTGCTAGAGGCATACATATTTTACCAAATGCTTGGTCAGTGAAAAGTCTCCCCTGCCCTATCTTGTTCTTGTCTGAGTGATTCAAGAACAAACTCATAGTCGCCCTCTGGCGTTTTCTATTCAGTATTCACGCGTACGTACATACCCAATAAATCAAGCTCGAGTTTGAACAGAAACTGATGCAGCATGCATGCATGCCACAACGCAACGGAAATGCTGATTCTGAATCATGGTCTGTGACGTACAACTGTACAAGATGGCTATACCTATACATCACTCTAAGATGACGACAGCAGTGTGCCCCCGCACTTTCTCGCCTTGGGCTGGGCCCGTTCAGCTCGATTCGGTCCATGAGACAAACACAGGAGAAAGGGTGGATAGGTGGGCTGGGCCAAGTTTGGGGACAAACACGTATATTTGCCCCCTGAACAGACGGCAGCAGCAAAAAGAAAATAGACATGAGCCAATAATTGGAACCCAGACTAAATAAAGGATAAAGCAATGCAAATTCTTGATGATTGTTTACAGACACCGTCTAGCAGCTTTAAGTTAACATAAAAATATCCACTGATCGAAACATGCACATAGGAGGATTACTGACACAGCAGAAACAAATATAAGACGGAGCTGACCTATAGGTAGCACCAGATGGATAAAATCAATTCATCCTAAAGTTCAGCACACCAGTGAGAAGGCAAATGTCAACAACAAATAAACCAATGAGCAAAACTGCTAGTAGTACAAATAAATACAGAAGCATAAGCCATATATTTACGCCCCTGGTGAAAATATGCATCACTGTGAACTTGCTTGGACTCCTGCAATCTGCACCAATTGTGATGAAGGCCAAAGGTCTGTATGGCGGTTGCACATATATATGTGCTGAAGAGTGAAGACGGTGAGCGCAGCAATACTGGCAATGGCAACACCTACAACATCTCGTGTCAGTGCAGTCCGCAGAACGATTAATTATTCACTAATTTTACTTCAAGCAAGAGGAGGGGTAAGGGTGTTCATCTCCTCCGAAGAAAATTCTCTGATTGTGTACATACCTTGGAAGGTAGGTTAATTCATAGTTTATTAATCATCTCCCTTCTCCATCGCTCCCATTCTTCAGCATGCGAGATAGCTCCTGGCTACAAGATGATAGATTGTACATGAAGTTGCCATTTCCTACATCCCCGAGATGCTCAGACAGAATGAGATCCTCAGGACCTTGAGGGAGACAAGGAGGAGAAAAGGTCATATACACCCCTGGTCACAATATGCAACACTTCAAAAGAGGGCTTCTGCAATCTGCACCAACCGTGCTTACATATAAATCCATCAAGGCCAAATCTCTGTATGGCATGTTGACACCTGCACGTGCAAATATTTGAGCTGAAGAACTAAGACGGTAGGTACAGCAGCACAGGCAGAGGTAGCATGTACAAGGTCTCATCTGCAGAGCAATTATAATTAATAATTACTTTATATACTAAGCGAGGGGAGGGTGAGGGTGCCAATTTATTCTCAAGACAAATGTGTACCTTAGGAAGTGACCGCTGAGGTTAATGATTCACAATCTCATCAACAATCATCTCCATTCTCCGTAGTTCCCATACTTCCAATTGCTGAGCTAGCTCCTTGCTCCAAACATGCCCATAAATCTCATCATCAATCATCTCCCTTCTCCGTAGTTCCCATTCTTTGAAACGCTGAGCTAGCTCCTCGCTGCAATCATGCACATAAAGATCACATGAAGCTGGCATTTCCGGCAGCCCTGAGATGCTTGGACAGGAATAGATTCTCAGGGACTTGGGGAGACAAGGCTTCGCAGATCTGCAGGAAGTAACAGGAGGTTCAGGTAGCCCCAAAGTGGAGCTCTCGGAGGAGGTGAGAAGCTGGAGTGCTCTCTCCTGTTCTTCTGTTAGGCTGACCATCGGGCTCATTCTTTTTCCCCAGAAATCAAGGTATTGTAGAGATGTGAGCTGTTTGCAGAGGGACATGGTAAGGACAGAGGCGTCCCCAATAATCTCAAGTCTTTTCAGTCGAGACCAGATCTCACAGGTCCCTTTCTGTTGCAAATAAAAGCTCCATCCATGGAGGTAAGCCGGAGGAGGCAGCTACTATGAAGGACATCAGATTTGGAATGGACTGGAGCCCTCGATTAAAGCAAGCGACTCACAATCTATAATTTCTAACTCTGTCAGCTCCATGCAGTATCCCAGCTGTAGAAGCAAGCGACTCACAATGTCTAATGCTTAACTCTGTAAGTGCCTTACAGTATCAAGCTGTAGAGATGTCAATTCTGGACTTCCCCCATATCCCCAATTTGGTTATGGCAGGGAGGCAGGGCAGCAGACCGGACTGGACATTGTTTGTGAGATTTGAGATCTCAAGTCTGTCAATTGATGGAGGAAGCAGTTCAATCTGATTTCCACCCTGTTCCTGGTCCTGTAGCTTAGGATTCATCTCGATTTCCAAGCTTCAGAAGACAGCTGAGGAACTGCAAGCCCTCAATGCACCCAGGTGTTGACACCTCAAGAAATTGTCAACCTTTGAAGAGGGTGAGGAATTGCAAACCTCCAATGCACCCAGCTGTTCACACCTCAAAATTCTGAAGCTCCTCCAAGGCCATGCACGAATGGAGCTGTACACACTTCAAATATGGGCTATCCATGAGGCTCAAGTATCTGAGGTAGGTCAAGCCTTTAGGGAAGTGGGACTGCAAGTTTTCTGGGAGATGACTAAGAGAAAGCACTTCAAGTGATGACGGGAGTAATCCAACATCCACGTTACAGTATCATCGTCTTTAGTGCCGCTTGCTAAAAAATGGACCCAGCTTTGGGCAATCATAGATATCTAGCACCTCAAGAGGTGAATCCTCCAAAGCCTCTCTTGCCACCATAAAACTCCAGATCTACACATCCATAAATAGTTAGCTGCTTTAGAGAACAGAGGATGTTAGATGGCACTTTCAGTATTTGGTCTTCTGCTGACAGCGTCACTGCTGAAGCCAAACTGTTACTTCCTTCCATTTCAGTAGGTTGACTGATCCATAACCATTTTATCTGTGGACAGTCACGTAAGCTCAATTTCTCAAGGGACCGCAAATGAGGAAGCATGTTAGTCAACCACCCCCTGGTATGCGGAAGAAGAAATATCAAGATGTTTGAGAGATGGGAGGGTGGGGATGTTTCCAAATGAACTGTTTTCCGAGGCAGCCTCTAACAGGATGGGTGGCTTGAACAAGTTAAACAATTGCGTATACTCAGAGACACTAAACCGGTGAGCTGGCTGAAACCTTCACTTGAAATAGAAATCAAATTTGGACAATTCCATATGTCCAACCATCTCATGCCCCTAAGATTATGGAATGCTAAGATCTGGTAATCCAACACACTCAAGTCATTGGATTTTATATTGAACGATTTGCCATCTATATTTATTGATAGTTTTTCCTTTGATGGAAATTTTCCGTATATTAGCAGAAGGTGGAAGAGGATGAGAGATCATCAGACTAGGGCAATCATGGATGATGAGTTTGTGGAGATTAGATAGACACACCTCCTGCTTTTCTTGTGAAAGTGAAGATGGAAGAGCCATCAGCCCACTGCATCTTTCCAGGCTTGGCATTTTTATCAACTCCAACTTCTCCAGAGAAGGAACTGACAACTCTCTCACAAGATGCAGGTCCACTAACTTCAGCTCGCCAGGTGCCCTCACTCCTCCCAGTGGAAGGATTTCCCAATTGCTGCAATATCATTCATCTAAGTATAAGTATGCCAAAATTTGCAAACGAGTACAACTAGAAGCAAAATTAAAGAGTAGTAGTTACATTATATGAGGACAATAGCAGATGGTGAGTTTCCTGAGAGACGAAAACCATGACTGCTGCTCAACTTGGAAAAGAAAGTAACTCTGGAAAAGAGTGAACTCGTTCAGTTGGGGGCAGCCCTTGATCATCATTACCCTTAGATCAGAGGTTAATTCCTTCCCATAAGTACCAAGACATTTTTCCAATATTGGCATCTCAATCAAGATCAACTCTTCCAAGGAAGGAATTGAAATTTCTGTCAACTTCCACATCCTGATCAGTTTTAGCTTCCTAAGGAACGGAAGCATTTCGAGACGAAGAATTTGCCATTCCCTGCACTTCTCTAAATGAAGTATCCGCAGCATCTTAACTGACACATTACTGGCAAGCCAGGTTGGTAAGTTAGCACCGCTGTACCCAGATATATGTAGACTTTTGAGGTTCTCATGAGGTTGAAGACCCTCAAGCACATCTTCTGTTCTCCTAGCTGAACAAGGATCAAGGCCCACGCTGATATCGTTCCATGACAAGGACAGCTCTTGCAGATACTCTTTGTCTATCAGCCTAGCTCCGCTGGCCTGTTCTTTGGTCTTCACATTTTCAAGCTGAGAAATTTCAAGAGTTACAAGTTTGTTCATGGATCGAAGTTGTTTTATCTCAAATTCACCAACAATTCGAACCTTGAATTTTATTCCCTGAAGAGCGGTCAGCTTCCCTACACCAGCGATTTCTGAGTGCACTTTCTCATGGGCAACAATATTCCGTAAATTAATGAGATTATTCATACTAGTAGGTATAGAAAAAAAATGCATCCAACATGACGTTGAAGAACTGAAGGTGATAAAATTTTGTCAAAGCTTGAGAAGGAACAATATTCTTCTTAAGGTCTAAATTTGTCCTAATATTTGTGTTGGCGAACACACCGATAAATTCAAGATAGCGAAGATGATATGGATTTAACAAATCAGATGTACTGCTGACATCATTATGCGGAACATAAATCCTCACGACTCGTAAACTTTTTGACTTCATGCATAAAATGTGTAGGAACCTTAATAAATGTATGCTGCTTCGGCCAAAAACCATCAAGGTCCTCAATTTTTTCGAAAACCCAATATTCTCTAGTATGTTCTGAAACTTGTCACAGGGGATACTGCAATGTCCATCTTTATCATAAGCAGTAGTTATGATTGACAAATGGCGAACACTTGGTTGAATAACCCTAGAGTTGGATCCATTTATAGCAGCACACTCATTTAACGAAGCCTTCTGAGCCAATTCATGCATTAGGTCATGCATGACATAGTCTGAGTCAACCTTTTGGAAAAAGCCAAAATCCACTAAGTTATCCAAATATTGCATCCCTGTTTCCTCCAATCTCTTGGTAGGGTCTTGGCACTGCACAAAATTTTGTGATATCCAAGCACGGACCAAATTTTCGCCATTAAATCTATAGTCCTCTGGAAACAGAGAGCAGTATTTGAAACACTGCTGCAGGTGGACCGGTAAAAAATCATAACTGAGCTTCAACATAGGTAAAATACCATCAATATCTTCTTGAAGAGATTTCCATTTGTTTTGAACTGTCCTCCAGTGCTCGTAGGTAACATTTCTGTTCAAAAGTGCACCGACACTACGTGCAGCTAGTGGAATACCCTTTAGTGATTTAACAATCTGCTGCCCAATGGACTGCAAAGTAGGATGGCCCTCATGGCTTTCATTGCCAAATGCACATGCCTTGAAGAACTGCCAAAACTCCTTTTCGTCCAGACCATTCACTTGGACCGGATCCATTGTTCCTATCATTTTCGCAACTGATGGTCTTGAGTAGTTGCTAAAATCATGCAGCCAGGTACATGATTGTGTTTTAGTGGAGCTAACAGGCTAATCCATCCGCCCCTGTCATTTTCCTCCCACATGTCATCAAATACAAGCAGGAATCTTTTATTTTCAATATTCTTCAGAAGGATATCCTGCAGCACATTGAAGTTGGTGATTTTTTCGAACTGTTGTCTATCTGTACATACATGCTCCAAGATCTCCCGTGTTAGTCTCATTGTGTCGAAGTTAGTGGACACACAAACCCACATTCGCAGATCAAAATGTTCTTTGATTCTTTGATCACCGTAAACAAATCTTGCAAGTGTCGTCTTCCCAACACCACCGATGCCAACTATAGGCAGAACATGTAGATCGTTAGATTTCCCATTTATTAACAACTCTATTATCTTATCCCTCTCTACATCCCTTCCGTATACCTTGTCTTCAATTGGAACAGAAGTTGTCAGGCGTGTGTTTCTGGCCACATACTGACCCTGCTTTGCCACTGGAACGAGGCGTGAAATCTCTAGCTGAAGAACCTTCCTCACAGAATTGCCAAGTTTGTGTAAATGATTCACTATCCCCTTGATGCTCTCAGAAATGTCAAGTTTAATCTCATGAGGCAGCATGGTGCTATGAGTTGGATCGTCATCTCTCTTCCTTTTTCTGTCACGTGAGCACCAACTAACAACTAGTTGAAAAGAAGATGGAGTGGAAGAAGACACAGAGCTCTCTGCAGGATCTGTACAACCTTTCCTGCATAAGCAAACCCACAGGTGTTACACGAACAAGCTAAAGAAAGACACTTAAACAAAAGCAGCCATTAATAAATAATAACTGACACAAGTTAAAACATGAAGAAAAATATCCTATTAACCTAGTAGGCAAGGCGAGAAACATGGAAGACGAGTACAAGACAGCGGTGATCTGGTGAGGTACCTTGTTCGATCTGTTGTTGGAGCCGATAGTAGTCGAGCTCGTCCATCACATCTTCGGCATCATAAAGCAGCTCTTTGAGCTCATCCAGGGACCAGGCCAGTGGCTTGTTGTCAATCGTTCTTCCCTCGGCTGCAGCAAGCACCATCTGTACATTCCTCATCTCAGACTCAAGGTTCTCCACATCTTGGCGAGCCCCGCATCCTGCACCCGCCTCCATCTGTCAGTGAAGAAGCTCCCAAGGATGCTCTCCACCAGCCATCCGGTCGCAGCATCCACCACAGTTTCCACCACCCCCATCGATCGTCTCCCAGTGAACCTATATGGCGACGGGCACAAGGGAGGACAGATGAATTCAGAGGAATGAACTGGTATGGTGTGTCATTTTTGTGGCTGTGCAGTTTACAGAAGGATAGAGGGTCAGGTCTAGGATTCTAGTCTTGCGTCCACAGCTGCAGTACTAATGAACTGGCATCTTCTCTTGTGTGGCTAACAGCACACTCGTCTTTAATGATCGGCATCGACCCTGTGGAAAATACTAGCTCATGATGTCTTGTCACATACCCAATTGGCCAGTACAAGATAGATGTCGCTGCCTGGTTTGTCACAGGACTGCTGGATTGCACTAGTCTTCACTATAGCTAAGTCACTGTAGCTTCCCGTCATCGTCTTTGACAAACCTGCAGGCTAAGGGCATCACGAAATGTTGTCACAAGCTAGTATTCTGTCCAAATCCCATCAAGCACGGCATTAGTGGAGTAATTCTTTGTTGAAATGTGAACAGGTAGACAGCGTCAGTTGAAACAGCGCCGCCCGCAAAATCATTTGGGAGGGAGCGAGCATGAGAAGGAGAGGGGTCAAATCAAGAGCTCAGCACTTGAACTGATTACCTGGCGATGGCGGGCAGCTCGTGCCGCGGCTGTGTGGGTTTCGGCCGGGGAGGGGGCACCAGCGGCCAGCGGGTGACGTCGACGAGCCACAGCCTCAGCCCTCGTTCTCCTCCGTTGATTCATTCACCCTAGGCCCAGACACAGGCAGCGAAGTCTCCTAGAGTAGACGTCCGCCGGCGGGGCGGGAGGGTGCGGGTGCGGCCGCGCGGCGCCATCCGGCGACCGCCGACCGGCGACATGGGCGGGTTGGTGGGCTTGACATGTGAGGCCCGCGTAGGAAATTCCACGTAGGCAGGCCGTGGATTCGGATGATCGATCAAAAGTGGGACCAGGCCCAGCGCGGCAGGAAGCCGCTGTGCTTCTGCTTGCTGAGGAAATCCGAAATCATGACTTTGTAAATTACTCCCTCCTAAAACAAACCTGACTTATCAAGGATTCATTTAAATTTTATTAATAAATATATAAAAATATTTATATTTATAACGTGTAATAAGTGTCACTAAATTAACTATGGAATATATTTTCTCATAATTTCATTTGAAGATGCAAATATTTGTACTATTTTCTATAAATCTAGTTAAATTTAGGATTTTGTTTGAATTTTGAGAAGCGAGATTTTCATTCTTTTTACTACAGAGGGGGTATACATCAGTCACAAAAGATGTACTAACAATCTAGTATATATTAAATACTAAGAAACATGCCCAAGTGCTATAACGGGATGTACAATTCGTTGAGCATTGCTCGTGCCTATAACAATTAGCAAGCTATTTTTATTGGATTTAAGGCCAACTTTAAATTAAATTGAATAAATTCCGAGACCCATAACAAATGCTGGTCCAATAAAGGATCATTTCCGTGTAGAGAATTTAGTCAACTTAAATAAGTGGCTATTGTGTGCACCAGTTGCGAGTTTAAAAAAGTAGAAGGTGCGTCACATGTCTGCATGAGCGCTATGACACGGATGAGTTCGGGCATCCAAGCCATAACATGGGTGGTGCGGTGTCGACAAAAAATTTGCAGCTCCAATTCCAAACTCAAACGAGAAGTGTGAGAGCAAGAAATGGATGGACAACGGGAAGAGTGACAGACGGAAGATTTTTTTTTGCTCTTTATTAATGTAATATTATAGGTATATAGATTACTTGTTGAAGGTGAGCCTCTACATTAACGCTCACAAAATAGGCTAGAACCGGTCATCAGGTTTCTTTTGTCACAAGTCACACTAATGCAGTTATGTAGCGACAGGTCAATACTATTAATATCAACTTGAGTTTCACATTGTTGATCCCTAGTAGATCTCACTTCAAAGCTCTACAGCTATTCTTGAGCATCATGGTCTACGCTTAAACATTCGCTTAGGACATTCAGAGAGTGCAATCCTCCACTCTGAATGAGATTCAACCTAAAATCTTCAACCTAGCGTGAGATTTTGTAAGAATCTCATTTTGTGTTTCATTAAACATTTGCTTAGGACATTCAGAGTGTAGTCCCTCGTAGACTTTGTATTTCTTTTTGTATTTTTCATTTAAAATAAAGATTTTAGAACCTTTAGCCGTCCTAAAATCTTTATTTTAAATGAAATACAAAATGAGATTCTTACATAAAAGATACAACAAACACAAAAGTTTCAACTTAGCATGAGAATAAAAAAATTGTTGCAGTCAGTTTATGGAAGAGTTGGCACCTCTAGTAACGCCCCCATATATGACAAGAATCTATATAAAGATTTAGCGGTGAATTCCTGAGACTTTTCCAAGTCCGACGACACCATGTGAGTAGAATATGGATTGAGATTAATCATGCTCACAGCGTCCCAAAAGTTCCTCCCATTGTCACACTAGCCAGTACTCCCTCCGTCCGAGAAAGGATGCGACTACATAACTGATCAATGGTATTCTAGTCAATGGTATTTACATTTATGGCTCCAAATCAGTTTATTATGAAAATACTTTTTATAATTAATATAATAATATTTATTTAATATTATAAAATATTAATATTTTTTTTATCTATAATTGATCAAACTTAAAATACTAAAACATGATATAGAATTGCATTCTTTTTTTGGACGGATGGAGTATCTCCAAACCATATAGGCTTCTTTTGAGTCCAATCCTCGATCCATTCCCCCTGTTTGACCCTGAGTCAATGTTACACCTAAAATGAAAAAGGAGGCCGGTAAGTATCACGTGTTAGATTATTGGTTCGATAAAAAAAGGTCATGTGAACGCCGTACGTGTGTGCAAATATGGAACTTTTTTTAGCATCACAGACAACGCCCCAGGCCCATCTTTCCAAAATAAGGGGAAAAAAAGGGACCAGGCTCGTCAAGTCATGCTAGTATCGTTTAAATAACCTTTGTTTTGGTTTGGGTAGCCGTGTGGTTTATATTTACATACATTTAGTAATTATTAATTAATCTCTGCACGGTTTCCCTCGCCAGATCTGCACCTCAACAACTGGCCCGGCCGGGTGGGTTCAGTTTCAGTATGTAAGCTCAGCTCATCTCCACCTCGCCCTTGAGCAAGACCATCCATTCATATGCAGCTTATTCGAGCAGAGCTTCCTTAGCTTCTTCTTCTCTTCCTCTGATCCGATCAATCTGATAGCAACACCGTGAACGCGCGAGCGAGCGCCGTCGTCTTTGTGTCTCGAGAGCGAACGCCGCAGCGTCGATCGTACTGCAGGTCTCCCTCTTCCAGGTTAGTGCGTGATTCATAAAATTTTATTTTGGCAACAATGATCTCCATCTCCATATATATGCATGGTGGCCTTCATATATCGGAACTACCGGTTGATACTTCTGGAGTAGGCTGGGATCGATCAAATAGATAGGTAGATGCATCTGTGTGTGTATGTGTACAACGTTCCCTTGACTGTATTATGACTCCTCTCTATATCTGTTCATCACTGCAGTTGACCTGTGTTCATTAATCAATGGTTCATGGTCGTCAACTTGTGATATACTCCTTCCGTCCTTAAATAATTGTCGTTTTCGCTTTCCAAAAAAAAACTTTGACTATATATATCATTAATATTTATGGTACAAAATTAATATCATCAAATAGATCATTGAATCTATTTTTATAATAAATTTATTTGGAGAAACAAATGTTGAACGCATTTTCTATAAATCCAATCTCCTTTAGCCCATATATATCTCTACTAGTGCATGGCAGGTATGGACATCCCTTGTTTTCGGGGATATCAATTTGCCTATATATGCTGCGTGCTCCAAATATATATGTACTGTACTTAGCTTTACAAGTGTTCAAGAGGCGCTTGGTTGGAGTGTGACCCAATCATCTAGCTAGAGATCATATTAATTAGCTAGCTATAGCTCTGCAGATGATACTGTTGTCTTACTTATCTGATTACTCAACATTATATTCATCAGACACATGACTAAGACATAACTATTATTCTGCTTTCATGGATACACTACACCACAGCCCAGATTTAGCGTCGCCCGGTGGGTCGTTATAAGCCGTTTCAACGACTACACCACAGCCCAGATTTAGCGTCGCCCGGTGGGTCGTTATAAGCCGTTTCAACGACCTACGGTCGGCCGTTATAAATCTATAACGACACTTATATCTGCCGTTGATACTGACGTCGTTATAAACTTTTAACGACCGACCGTCGGACACTATGTAATAGATATAACAACCAACTGTCTAACTCTTATTATAAACTTATAGCGACAAACTGTCTGTTGACATATATTTATAGTGACCAACTATCTAACGCTAGCTTACAAAAAATTAACCATATAACATCATTTATTTATATTTTAACCATACAATCAACATTAACCATTTCAGACATTAAGACACACACATGAAACACATAAATTGGAACAAAGCTCACAATTGACAACATATGTCATCATTGTCATTGAAACCATCAACATTTGTACTTGTACAATTTTTCACACGAAATACAAAGGCAATAACCAAGCTAGCTCATTGAACTACCTACACGAAATACAAAGGCCTGTACAGCTCACAACTCATATGTTTTGCTCATGCAACAGAATCTTGTCACTAGGAAGTCATGAACAAAAATAGCCACCATGAGCACCTTGATCCTCTTGCTGCAATTTAGAGATAGCCTCATCAAACACTTGCAAAGAGCCAAAGAATACTTGATCAGGAATAAAACTCACATGTGCAAAGGTGTTGTCTTTGAAAAAAAAGTGCAAAGGTTTTTTGGCTAGGTTTTTAAGCTTCTATAGAACAACTGTTATTTATTTGAAGATTGTCAGCTTATTTGAAAGAAAGACAGGAGCATATTGAGATCCTAGATAGTCCAGTACACTATCAAG